TGTTTAAAACCAGCATAGAAATAATACTACAAATAAAGCCTAGTTACCTGTGATCAATGACTGTTACATTGGACGCAGGAACCCCCAGCAGACAACAACTTTGTTCCAGTTCTTTCTTACGAATCTCTCCTTGATTGTAATAGTTTCCTGCAAATAACAGCAACACTGTTTAGTTTAGCATGGAGAAAAAAGACATTTACTGGTCAAATAGAAGTTTAGAAGCAGTTGCCCAAGCAGAGTGTTCCAGAATTGCTGTCTGGGAGATCTCCCATGTCTTTAGCAGAAGCATGACTTTGGCTATTACTAAAAGGAGGACAATGGACTGCTTGGACAACCGGTCTGGTTAGACATGGCACTTTCTGATGCCTTTTCCAAACAAGCTCACACCAAAATTTTTAGCCTTTTAGCAAAAGGAATTTTTTTGTTGTTGTTGTTTGGCCTTTCTGTTTTCTCATGTATTTTTTGTGAATTCCAAAGGCTAACTCTGCTTGGGGGCGGGGGAGGAAGGAGCTTTCTAAGGGTGTCTTCAAGGACAAACAGGTTACAGTTATCTGAATGCAAGTCACTAACAAAAACAACTGAGCAAGATCTTCTCATAAACACAGAAGAAACAGCCTTTCCAGTGAGGTGACTAAAACTGTTATCACTGGCAAATTTCCAGGTTGTCTCTATGAAAGAGGTTAGTGGGACCTTAGTCCACTTTAAAGAGAGGTATTCAAAACAAATCAGTAATAATTAACTTCCTCAGGAAGGGCAAAAGAACCACTCCTCCTTCACTATTAGGCATGGTACCATGAACTCCCTCCTGTGCTCTTAACAGCACAGGCCCACAGAATCAGGCTGAACAGCCAGGTCAGAGTCCTCAGAAAGAACTGCTGGGACAACACTTGGAAAACTTGTCCTGAGTTGTATTCCTTAGGTGATTATAATAGTTTATAGTACATTCTGGACCACTTCTAATGAACAGTAGGCACCACGTAACACTAAGATACTGCAACAGAACACAGTGATGAAATTAAGAGGATTTTAGGGAATGAAGAATTCTAAAAATCTGTTTTTGAGATGAAGATTTCTCAGAAGTCTGCATCACTCACAGAGGAGATTCCAGCAGAAGTTACAATTGCAAAGAACTTACAGAACCACAAAAGGCAGGAACCTACTTTAAGGGTATTTTGGAAAAGTTAAAACTTGATAGATATTTGCAGACCAACAGCTGGTAGGGAAACACTTCAAGCACCGTCTCCTTTGCAGAAATCTTTTCTTCTCATCTTGTCCTCACACTACTTTTTTTTTTTTTTCTTGGAATCAGTCATGCAAAGTCTATGCCAGTACTGCAATGGTCCCTTGCAATATGCTACCTGTGCAGGACAATATTTGCAGCCCAATTTTAACTTTGCAGCAACGAAATGATAAAATTTAGCTGTGTATTAATGTATGATTTGAGTCTGTAGTCAGCTGTCTTGAATTACACCAGATTTTTTTTATTGTTTTGGGGATGACTCATCTAAATCTAGCATTTCTCTAAAGAAATGTTGCAATCTGAGCACTCACTAGCAGCTTTGTATGATTTTCAAAGAAGTGAACAACAGCCAGAAAAAAGCAACTTCTCTTCTTGCAGACTGTGAGTGAATGATTTTATAAGACTGTGACAGTGGTTACCTGTGGGTTTGCTGAGGCACACGTCAGCTTGGCAGTCTGCAGTTGGACCACAAGTTCCAGCTTCAGAAGAGGAAATTTAACTGTGTGCCTTCCTCAGATGGACTACATGAGTACTTCATTTTAGATTGATTTCTTGCATGGGAATTAGTGATATTTGTGTTTTAATGTAATGTAAGTTATGTTGCAACATAACACAGTAACTGCAGGTGACGTTTTTCCAAGTGGTGCCATTATTCTCAAAACACCTAACTTCTACTGAACTCAAAGGAACAGATCCATTTTCCCCAGCTTGAGAAATGTGTCAGGACATTAGGAATATATAAATGCTAACAAGAAAAAACGGGCAGCTGCTGAAAGCAAAAACAGCTGAATAGCTAATGCTGCTGGAACTCATCCATTGAGCACTCACAATAGAGAGCCAGCTACTACAGAGAACAAAACGCATTTATACAGAGTTATTAATTCAAAGATTACTCAGTGTGGAGAAGGCTGGGTTTTTTCCCTCACAGTGCTGTAATTCTGATTCATTTCTTATGGCATTTTGACTGATATGTGAGAACTGCAAATACAACAGTTCCTACGTCATTATTTTGGTTCAGTCTTACAATTTGCGGAGTCTTTGATCAACTCACTTGTCATCATCAATCATACAAACAACGAGAGGATAAACCATCTGAATCACCAAGAGGCTATTAAGAGGCAGAGAGAAAGCTATTAGCTCACTGAATGCATTTTCCTATGTGTTGGTATTCCCTTACAAAGACGTGCAAGACATGCAACCGAAGACAGTCTCAACCCGATTTAATTTTTCATGGCACTGAAGCAGGACAATAAAAAAAGAGAACCTGAACAAAATAAAAAAGAAACACAACACTTCTTTGGAAAGTTCTCTACTGGCAGCAGTATTTTAATCCTGACAACTGAAATGGCAGAACTGCATGTCGGTAATCTTGTCAGAGCTGTGAAAAAGCCAAATGGGATCCACAGACTTTTGTCCCTCAGCAAAGACAACTGAAAGCTCTGCACTAAATCTTTAATGGGGAGTATGCAGGGATCATTAAAATCAATGTGCTATTAGACTTCAACAATAGCTTAATCCCTGTCTTCTCACCTAGATAGCCTGTTATGACAGAAAGGTGTGAGAACAAAGAATACAGGAGATGGCAGAGAACAAGCTGGAGATTTCAGAATTACAGCAGTCCCTTTTCCCAAATACGAGCAGCTGTCAGTGGGAGATGTACATCTTTTTAGCTTGAAATACTCCTCTGAACAAACATTAAGACATTAAGTTTTCACCACAGGCTCATGAATTCATGTACAGCAGTGTGTATGGTCTGATAAATCAGTTAACATGAGGCTGCTTCCTACATCCAAAATAACTGAACAAAGTAATGATAATGAAATGCAACACTGCAGTGTTTCATCAAGCACAACAGTACAACCTTGAATTCACAGGAAGAATAACTGATTAGGTTATGTGCATGAAAAAAAATTATCTCAAGCTTTAGTAGATAACAAGAAAAGCACAAGATAGTAGTGTAATATGCTGGGAAAATTCCTTGTGAGATTTCTCCTCTGAGAGTCTTTCATTTGATTCAGGCCCAGAAAGGCCTCAGTTTTTGGTGACTGTGCTTCAGAAACAGATGTGAATCAAATGGAGGAGAGTCCACAGGAGTGCAAAGAGAATGATCAGAAGTTTAGAAAATACAATAAGGATTGAAGGAAATCGTGTAGTTTAGTATGGAGGACACAGGAGAGGCAGACAGCTTTAAAAAAAAGTAAGAAGCTGCTATAAAGGAATATTCTGATTTCTATGTTCACAGCAGATAAAACAAACAAACAAACTCAGGTCACTCCAAATTCAGGAAAAGGTGATGTGAAGAAAAGCTAATGCAGCACTGAAGCAGACTACATAACCTCCCTGGGGGACACAAAGCACAAACTAGACATCTGTCTCTAGCAAATGAAGACACCGTTAGTGTTGCCTTTGGGCTGACTGATGGGCAGCACAGCCTCAGGTTATCTTCAGGGTTATTTTTCAATGATTAGACTGTTTTGCAACCAACATTTTTAGATGCGTTAGTGTGAATATATCATGATATCAAAACTGGATCATCCAAAGCAAGTTCTCTAAAAGACCAGAGAACTACAAAATGCAAAAACTTTAACAATGAGTGCTTTTATGCAACTTAATGACATTTCCATGCAATTTCCTAGTATCTCAGTGCTGCAGCATGAGAATTGATTGTGAAACCGTATGCGTGGTTCAAATATAGATTTTACTACAGCCAATGAAACTGCCAAAAGCAGCATTTTGGCTGAAGACCCATACATGAGGCCACTTTCAAGCGTGTGCAGAATGCCCCAACCTAGAGGTGCCCCCAAACCACAGAGTCTCAGCAGTGCTCACTGTCACTGCAGCAGAAACCCAGAGGGCTGTGAGAATCAGCACAGAGATGACATCACGCGTGGCATCGCGGTGACATCACACTGTCACACCACGATGAGGCCACACCAACCATGCACCGATACGTCGCTACAGCCCTGCCCGCTCCGCCCAAGTAGACAACCCAGCGCTGACGTCACGAACGAAAACATCACAGAGGCCTCTGCGTGACGCCACGGATGGGAAGCCTGACCTCCACGGCCAGCGGCACCTGAGGGGCCAGGTAGCCCCACCGCTCCCTGCCGCATCCCCGCTCACCTGCGGAGCAGCACAGCACCGCGAGGCGGGCGCCGGCCCTGCCCAGGCAGAGCAGCGTGGGGGCGAAGAACATCACTTCGTCATCGGGGTGCGCCGTCACCAACAGAGCGCTGACGTCATCATCCCGCGACACCGCCGCGCTGTTCACGGCGGAACGACTCCGCAGGCGGCGCGCGGCGCAGCGCAGTACCACCAACAATAACAGCAGCAGCACCGCCAGCCCCCAGCCCCACGGCCCCGCTGCCATAGCGACAGCCGCCGCGCACCGCTCCGCCGGGAAACGGGGACGGGAAACGCGAACGTTCCGCGCTCCCAGAAGTTCCCCTCTTCCGCCCTTCTATTCCCCGCCTCGGGGCGGGGTCACGCGGCCGCAGAAACGTGCACCGGTCCCGCTGCTTTGGGGCTGCTCCGGTGCACTCGGGCTGGGTGGCGGCGTGGCCCGGGAGCATCCCTATTAGCGAGAAATGGGCCCCTATGGGACCTTAAGAAGTAACAAATGGAAACAAAACTGAGCTCTTCGACGCGTACCTCTGTGTGGCTGTGAGATACACGTGGGCGAACTGAGACCTCGAGAGTGGGGCGAGGAGCATCTCCAGAGACAGGCTGTGCCGTGCGCTTGTCTGTGCGGCTGTCCTGAGCGCGGCTGCGAGAGAAAAAAAGCGTTGGGACGCGTCTCAGAGGTGAAGTCAATCGCTGGAGACGTTACCATGAAAAAGGTGACAGGGAATAAATAAGGCAACGAGATAAACGGCGGCTTGGAAGCCGTGCTGCTCGAGGCATAGAAGAGCAGTCTGTTACCCCAACCTCAGCTTAAAGAATAAAAGTGTGAGAGCAAATCAGAGGAATCGAACATCCGGAGAACAAACACCTCACAAAACGGCTCCTTCACACGGGCTTTTCTTGGATACGTTGAAGCAAGCCGTCGGCTTTGGTGGGGTTAAAGCCTTCAGCCTGGAGATAGGTTGATGTAGGCATTTAACGGAGTGGAACTCAGCTGTGGTGCTCACTGGCCAATAAAGCGCGTGTTTAATGAGGGAAACTCGCCTCTTTGCCACAGGCTGAGCACCTGCGTTGTGACTCCGGCTGGAAGCTGTGCAACATGACCGCGTTTCCTCAATGGGACGGCTTAATCTTGGCTGACGGTACGTGCCTCCCGTTACAAACCCGATAAGGGGATCTGCGATCTCAGCAGCTCACGTTTGCAGATAAAACGTGAGGATTTCAAATACCTGACGGAAAAGCCGTCGGCACCAGCGGAGCGTAACACGGCTCGACAGGGGACAGTGCTCATTTTTCTCATTCCAGAGGAAAGGGTAAAAAAAACCAACCAACCAACCAAACAAAAAACAACAAAAAACCAGAAAAACGAGGCAGTTGCGATTTAAAACCTAATATTTCATAACGAGAGGCAGAGGCGCGCCAACCGCGGGGACCCCACACGGCTGTGAAGAGCCGCGCTCCGCCCCTCAGCCGCCGCCTGGCGCTTCGGCGGCCGTTATTTACCATTTTTCACTTCAGCCCATTCGCTTTCTCGCGGCCGAGGGGCGGTGTGTACGTGAGGGGTTCCCCCGCGCTCCGTCCGTCACCGCCTCAGCGCCGCTGCGCGCCTCATGGCGGCCGCCACCCCCCCCCCCCCCCGCACAGAGCCCCTCAGTGGGGAGGGGGGAGGGAGCCGTACTCCGCCGCCGCACCGGCCAGCAGGTCCTGGAAGAAACGTAGCAAACCGCCTTTTTACTCCGGGACCCGCCCCGCTTTCTAGGGAGCCGACGCCTCCAGAGCAGCGCTACGCTGGCTGCGCGTTGGGAGGAAGGCGCGAGTCCCCGCGACCGGTAAAAAACCTCCGAGTCGCCGCGCCACCGTTTGTTTGGTAGCTGCCAGGACCTGGCGAGAGGAGGCGGAGTCCTCCGAGACGGGGGAGGGGAGGCAAAATGGCGGTGGCGGTGGCGCTGAGGCTGAGGTGAGACGCCGCGACCGCCCAACCCTGCCGGAGCCCGCGGCCGCGCCGCCCCAGCGCCGCGCTGTCGGTAAGGGCAGGGGCCTGGCGGGGCGGCGAGAAGCATGGGGGGCAGCGGGGCTTTGGATTCTCCACTGTGAGGAGGAGGAGGAGGAAGAGGAGGGGGAAGGGGAAGAGGCGGGGGCCACGGCCATCCTCCCTCCTCCTTCCTCGTCGGGCAGAGCCCCGAGGGGAGGGCGCTGGAGCCGGGGGGGTCCTGAGGGAGCGGCCGGGCGGGGGGAGGGGGGGAACAGATCGGGGGGGGGTGCCGCTGCCCGCTGTGCGTGCGTGAGGAGGGCGGGGGGGGGGGGGGGCGCGGGGCCGCGAGAGTGGCCCCTGAGTGAGGGGAACTTGGGGGAGAAGTGCAGAGCGGTGGGGCGGGGGTTGCCGTGATCCTCCTGGGGGGAAAAGCGCGATCTGAAAAAAAAAAAAAAAGAAAAAAAAAAAGAAGAAAAAAAAAAAAACACCCAGTCACAGTAATAATTAAAGAAAAAGGCCCGTTCTTCAAAAAAATCTCTTCGAAGTCAGTCTTCTGGAACGTGGGGCAGAAGTGCGTTTGTTCCTGAGGATGCTCTCCTCCTGCTGAGACTGTCAGTGGGCAGCTGCTTGTGCTGAGTTACGCCATTAGGACCCATCAGCAGCCACAGCCCCCCTCACCTCGGGGCTACCAGAGGGCACCAGGGAAATGGCCTTTTCTGGAGTAATTCTGCCTCGGTGGTAGAGGTAGAGAACGTTGTGCTCACTGGTGTCTGTGCATAACAAAATGGTCAGTGTCCAATTGGTAGCAGTTGGATAAGGTTCCAGATGGACTGTGTGCTGTTAGTGTTAGACAGGCTCAAGTATGTAAGTTGTGAGGCTGAACCGTCTTGTTGTCCAAAATGGGCTTGTTCATGCGTCAGTTATATGGTCTTCATGACCATAAATATCATTGTAACGTAATAACAATAATAATAAAGATAACACTGCGATGAGGAGGATGTTTAGCTTTGAGTTTTGTGGCAATATTCTTGTATTATCCAGTATCTTTATGTATAGTTACACAGCTGTGTGCTGCTCAAACTCAGGCGGAGAGCTTTTCATTTTAGGCTTGTTGACTTAAAGGAAAAATGGTGCTGTTGTGGGTGTTATTGTGGTGTGTAAGGAGGCCCTGGGTACAGCTGAGATGTCCAAACAAGTGGACGCACAGCATTGTGTCACTGCATGTAGGGACCGTGCAGATCTGTTGAAATTTTGCGCTGGAGTTTTACTCTGCAGGATATTGTTCGTGATTAACTGAAGAGCCTTGACATTTGGAAAGGGAGTATGTAATCTTTGAAGTGGATTTCTAACTAGCTAAAATCTAATGTCTCCTGTTGGGGGACAAAAGACCTTCATCCTCAAAAGTTCAGAGGAAACAAGCCAACCGCAGTGACCCTTTTTGCAATAGCGTGGTTAATTTTTTTCTTGACATGGCTTTTCTCTGTGATAGAATATGGACTGCTTAGGAAACAAAATTCTGTTGTGCTTTGTGTGCAGTTTGATTTGTCTGTTTGTAATACGCTGTTTGATGTTGGTCGCTGTGATGCAGGAGAGGGTGGCACTTTGGAATCTTCTTTCTAAGGGTTAAAATTCCATTTGTTAGTGTATGGAGAGGATACTGCAAGTGTTTGCTTCCACAGGCGTTAGTTCTCTCTATTCTTTTAGGTACAAACCAACTACAGCTTACAATTTGAATTAAATTACAAAGTCGGAGTATATTTATTATTCTATATTATGCTGCTGATTTACTCTAAATACATTGGAGTCCTGTAACCACTCTTTTTAGTTGCTCTTTCTGGGTGTTCCTCATTGTGAGGAGTCTATAAAAGCGTCTCAAAAACGGAGGTAAAAGCAGTGACAAACGTGAATGCTTCCTTTCAATTTCCTCCTTCTGGTGCCCTCGGGTTCTTGTTGCTGCATCCTCTAATCTACTTCATTTCTCAGTTACAGCATGAGTGAGAGATGCTTACAGGGAGGGGAAGCTGACTGCTTCAACTACTGCTAAATGTCTGAAAGTAACAGGATAATATTCTGTATCAGAGAAAAATATTTTCTTTATTTTCTCTACTATTGTATTCTTAATATTGACATTTAATTTGTTCAAAGCTCTCAGCCAAAGTTTTGCTGAAATGATTTTTTTCTTCTGTGCTTTCCTACAAAATGGTTTCAGTGAAGGTTTTCTTGTACCGTCACAAGTACTATTCAAAATTCTTGTGTGTGTGGTCACTTAAGTTTAAGATTTTAATAATTGTTTAAGTTGGAACAGATCTGTGCCTCATGCAGGTGCTGTGCAATGCAGTACAATCCTGAGAACAGGCTACTAACCAGACAGTGGTTTCATAATGCAAACAAATGTTTCCTGGATGCAGGCTCGAACTCTTCGTGTCGTTTATGTTCTTCAGTCAAATCTGAATCGGTGTTTCAGATGGCAAGCAATTAGCAACCTGCTACCTGGTCTCTGTACTGTAAATGTTTGAAGTAAAAATTCTGACCTACGTAGAATGCTGTCTGTAAATATTTACTTTGGACTACTTCTAAATTATGTAAATATCCAGGAACATGCTGAATTTATCTTCAGTTTTAGTTTCTCCTTCAATGAGTCTCCATCGAATAATGATGTTTTGTGATGCTTCCTCTCTCTTCCGTGCTAGTTCAGCCTTTATCAACTGTCTGGTAAGCGTTGTCCACAGTCTGGGCCTACCAGGGCTTCAGCTGGTGTGCACACAGAAAGCTCAAACTTACCTTGGAGCTATGTTTCCTCCCAGTATCCTGAGAGAGATTTCTGTGTCCTTGAATAGCTTCACATCTAAGCCGCTCTTGTAGTGCTGCCACTCCCTGACTGATTTGATAGGCAGTTTTGTTTCAGGCTTCAGGAGGATGTTGGTCTGTGTGGTTTTGAAGTCAATGACTTCACCTGCTTATGATTTCAAAGGCTATTGCAAAATTAAGTCGCTGTGTTGGGTTTAAAAAAAAAAAAAAAAGTAAGCCGTTCTGAAAAACCCTCCTGTTTGTATTTCTCAGCAGTAAGAAAGTCGGGCAATTAAATTTTTATGCTGATGTTATTTGGGCAGACTGTTGACCAGGACTTAGAAATTGTGTGTGTGCAAATTGGCCTTGGGTAAACCTGAAAATAAAAATGCATTCACAAAGACAGCGAGGGGAACACGACCCATAAATGAGAAAAGACGAGATAAAATTATAAAATATGCTTAAACTAATATAATGTCCCTTTAATTCTTCCTCTTATGCCATGCATGTAGTTGTGCCTTACGGTGCTTTGGGGAAAGTGCGTGTGGTTAACTCTGTCTGTAGCCCTCGTGCAGTCAGAGGCACATCTGTCCTGGCTGCGGGGCATGGGCTGTGTGTGGACATCCCTGGGCAGTGCTCTCCTGCATGAATTCACCTGCATTCACACTGTGAGGAGGATGTCCAATAAATGTGGATATGAATCATGTTTTCATATGGAAAATCCATTTGGAAATGCGTTTGCCTCTTTCTTCTCAGGAACCGATTGTTTCATCTCTGTCACTATTGGAAAGTTAAACCTAAAAAATATAGTGGATTAGAAGTTCAAGTGCTGCTCAGCAAACCAGATGAGCGTACTATTACAGTTCAGCTGGAGTCTTCACCTATTATTCTATCACTGTTTCTGCTTTTCATGTTGTTTAAAATGCTTTCTTGACAGAGAAGGGCTGTCAGGAAGGTGGAGCTCTCCCGTACACTTCACCTTTCTCAGAGTGTTACTCTCAAAAAACTTTCTTGCAGAAGCAGCCGCTTACCTCTGGCTGATATTTCTCTAGATGTTGATATTTCCCTGTGGTTTCAAAGAGACTTGTACCCATCTAGAACCTTGACTTTTTTTTTTTTTTTTTTTAACTGCCTGTTTTCTACCCTTCCCCCAAAGCAGAGGTGCTTCTACCATTTGTGATTGAAGATCCCTTCCGTTCCTTGCCATTTTCTGTGACCTAGAGGCTGTTCTGTGAGCTTCAACAAGGACTGTATTTTTATCTGTCGTATTCTCTGTGTAGTAGAACATCTCAAACTTCATTGTTCATGTCAATAAATCACAATTACATACAAATAAATCACAAACTTTGTTTCTGGAGGGCCATCTTGCTTATCCTATGGAGT